CCGCCCTCCTTGGAGGCTGGGGGTTACAGTTTCTCTGCTGGGCCTAAAACAGATGTTACTACTTCTACATCTATTCCAGGCCCAGCCAGTGGTTCAGTCTGAAGTCAACAGCCTTTGGGACCTGATTCCTTGTGAAAAGTCTGATCATCCCTAAGACATCCTGGTATTGGCAGCAAGGGCTGAAGACCCCCCTGACAGCTTTGCTGGACTGGATCAGAAAAGCTGGACATGAGTGCCGCACCGGGTACTTGTCTTTCATCCACATAAGAGTTTGGGGAACTTTCTCATAATGAGAATGAAAGACTATCAACCTACCTGATTAAGGAATCCTGGGGGCACAGAGGCTTTTGCTACAAGGTCAAGAGTTTGAAACCACCAGCAACTCCACCAGAGAAAGATTGGGCTTTCTACTCTGGTAAAGATTTAGTCTTAGAAACCCACAGGGGCAGTTCTACCCTATCCTATAGGGTCACTATGAATCGGCATTGATTTTATGGCGGTGAGTTGAGAAACCTTCTGAATAATTTCATATTTCATCTTTTTGTTCAAAAACCCAAGGTAAAACACAAGTAAGCCCGATTGGCTTATTAGGCCTCCAGTAGCCATTTCAATACCTACTTTCCTTCGGTCTTCAATCCCCAATTCCCAGCTGAGCTGAGGGTCCTGCTCACTGATGGGTCCCCACTGATCACACCTGTCAGTGACCTTGGCTTTCTCTAAACTCAAACTTTGCTTTCATGAATCGCCTATGTTAATTGTCAAATGAGGCTATTCATCACTACCAAATCTTGGACTTCCTGGACTCCACCTGTTACCTTTACATCGTCCTCTCACCACTGCCTGACACAGGTTTATGATCTAAAGGTCTAATGCCTTGACCTTCCTGTGAGATTGTCAGATGCCTGCAGCAAGGAGGTCTCTTCCCATTAAGAGTCCACACAGTTGCCCAGAATAAACCCCTTGCCACGCGTGGCATCTGAGTCCCAGTGATCCCATGTGCTGCTAGTAGAACTGGTCCATACAGTTTTCTTGGCTGCAGTATGCATGCCAGCAGAATTATAGCTCTGTCCCCCCCATGCCCCCATCCAATCTCAGGGGGGTTCTAACCACAAGCTTTAAGGGTAGCTGTTGGGGGCACACAGTTGACCACACAGGAGCCTCTGCTGTGAAGAGTTGCCCTTAAAGCCCCGCCCAAGAGTTCGTGCTGGTTCCTGGAGATCCAGGTGTGCCGAGTGGAACGGCACCACGGGATGTTCCAGGTGGTGGCCTTTCCAAAGCAGATAGCCAGGTCCCTGAACAGAGCAGTTGTGGTTCTTGGCCTGCCGTCCTATTGAACCTGACTCTTGAGCAACTCCGGGCACATCAACAAAACATTAGCAGACCGTCACCTTCCTCACAGTTGTTGTGGGTTTGTGTGACCTGTTTCAGCCACTGTATCTGGTCCACTTCTTAGAGGTCCTCCTCCTGTTTGCTGACTCTATATTTCACCCAGCATGATGCCCTCCTGGCGGCACGACAAAAATGCATGAGACCAGGCCTTGCCATCTGTGGTAGCTTCACAATTTCATGTCAACTTGATAAATGAAGGGGTGGGGTTTAGCCTGTCACTCAGGTCACAGCCCGAAGATCCCTCCTTGTGGGCATGGAATTCTCATGAGGATTCTAGGAGCTTGCTATCTCTTGACTCTGCCATCAGAGGAAGTGGGCCAGCCTTCTCTCTCTCTCTCTCTCTCTCTCTCTCCTTCACCAGCCTGTGGAAGAGCCACATGGAGTCACTCTGATAGCAGCCAGAGCCCTGGAAATGCATCCACCGCCATTAGATCCCCACGACTTTCCACCCACCAGACTGTGATCTTCCTGCATTCCGCATCATTACATGTTTTGTGAGCCAAAGAGGAATTTATGAACTAGTATCAGACATATAGGCTAATATCAGACGTGTGGATTTGATCAGGACTTGGCTGGGATGTTTTCTCAATATACAATTGTGCTTTGATATAAAGCACTCTCGTACACAAATATGAGTGTCTCTGGATTTGTTTCTCTAGTCACCCCCCCTAGCATACTGTCCTTGCTTCTAAGGAGCATTCTGATTGTCGTTCTTCGAAGAGAGATTTGTTTGTTCGTCGGGCGCCCTTGGTACTTTCGATATCCTTCACCAACAGCATGATCCGAAGGGATTTTTCTTCTGAGGTCTTTCTTATTCATTGTCCAGCTTTTATATGCATATACGGTGAAAGAAAACATCACGAATGGGTCAGGCTAAAACTTTGGACCTCGAAATTACTTCTGTACTTTTTAATACTTTAGAGATTCTTTTTACATCTAATTTGCCCAATGTGTTGTTTGAATTCTTGTTGCTGGTTTTTTGCCAACTTCAGGATCCTCACCCCCTTTTATCAGGATATTGTCTATTGGCCCAGTGGTGAGGATTTTTCTTTTGTTTACATTGCGTTGTCATCTAGACTGAAGGTTGCAGTCTTTGATCTTCATCAGCAAGTGCTTCAAGTCCTCCTCACTTTCAGCAAGCAAGGTTGTGCCATCTGCAGATCAAAGGCTATTAATGAGTCTTCCTCTAATCCAGATGCCTTTATCCTTGGAGTCTGGCTTTGCGAATTATTTGCTCAGCACACAGATTGAGTAAATACAGTGAAAGGATATGGCTGTGATGCATCTTTTTTAATTTTAACATGTGAAAGTTGGATATGGAATAAAGATCGAAGAAAAATCAATGCATTTGAATGATGGTGCTGGCAAAGAATATTCAATGTACCACGGACTTCCCAAAGAACAAACAAATCTGTCTTGGAAAAAGTGCAGCTAGAATTCTCCTTAGAAGCAAGGATGGCAAGATTCTACCTCATGTACTTTGGACATGTTGTCAAGACCAATCTCTAGAGGGTCATCATGCTTAGGAAAGTAGTGGGGCAACGCAAAAAGAGGAAGACCTGCAACAAGATGGATTGACACAGGGAACAAAAAGAGGAGCCGGTGCCACGGGCTTAAACAGAAAGAAACTATTTTGAAAATGATGATGGCAACAAATGTACAAATAGGCTTGATACAATTGATGCATGGAGTCTTATAAGAGATGTAAGAGCCCTCAACAAAATTATTTATAATAATAAAAGGTGGACTGACACGACACAGTGGCTGCATCAAGGAGCTCAAACATGAGAACATGTGAGGATGGCACAGAAGCGGGTAGTGGTGACTCATCCTGTTGTACAGAGGTTTGCTCTGAGTGTAAGTGCTTCGACAGCACCTGACAACAGTAACAAGTCTCCCCTTGTTTTGTTCAAGCGACGACCTCTTGGTCCATGTCAAGGTTGGGCATGAAAACAAGGAAGAGGTCTGGAGTTCTCATCCTTTGCAATGTTAGCCACAGCTTGTCAGGATCCACACAGTTGAAAGCTTGTGCATAGTCAATGACAGGCAAGTACACATCTCTCTGGTATTCTCTGCGCTCAGCCAAGATTCATCTGATCAGCAATGATATCCCTCCTTCCCCATCCTCTGTCCTCTTCTGAATCAGGCTTGAATTCCTGGAAGCTCCCTGTCATTTGAACAGGCAAGGTCCTCAAAGGGACTTTTTTTTTTAATACCTTGGGGAAAGGGGCCAGAAGAGTAATTATTCTGGTAAAGTAATTTGCAAAAACCAAAGCCTCCCTCTAAGGAGAACCATTGACAAATGTTCCCTTCCATACTGTTACGGACATGTGGCATGTCTTCAATTAAGCTAGTAGTCGAAAGACTTCTGAGGTGCCCTGCAAGTCCAGGCACAAAGTGAGAGGGCATCTCAGGGAGCAGTTAGGCAGTGTCTGCAAAAGTTATTAATATATGAACACCTGAGGAATCTGCCTCACGGGCAGAAAGATCCTTGTATTTATGGGGCTGAATCACCCAAATTTGTTGGAGACTGACAGTGGAAGAACCAGTTCTGGGCTTTCTCCTTTGACCAAGGGAGGCTCAATTCCGCCTGGTACCTCAAACCAAGGGGCGTCTCCCTTACACTGCTTGTACACACAGGTCAAATATTCAAACATGCAACAGTGGGTGGGGGGGGGGGATGAGATGGGGGGAGGTGTTGGCCGCTGGCCGCTGAGAATAATCTGCAGGTCTCCGCGGATAACTTCGCGCTCTGTTCGCCAAAGGCAATAGTCCAATGCCAGCGGGGCCTCGCTGCTGCAGGACTTCCCGCAGAATGTAGCTCCTGGGTCTTAAACACGAATAAAGCCAGGCGCGCGCCCACTGCTCCGAAGCGGCGGGTGTACTCGCCTAAAATAAAAAGGTCTCTTGTCTGCAAATCCCGTTTGCTCTCCCCGCCCCGCCCCTCGCTGCCCCGGTAATCCATCCCCGCCCCCAGTCCAGCGTGTCCGACCGGTACAGCTGTTTTTAATCCCTACTTTTCTCACTTGGCGTCCCGGGCTCGGCTGACCAGACACGGAGCCACTTAGCCTTTCCTCCTCCCCCTGCCGGAGTCTGTCCTCCCTCTGCAGTATCCTCTTTCTCCGCCTGCATCCCCCGGGGGTGGGAGTGGGCGGAGTGGGGGGGAGGGGGTGCAGAGTGTGGGAAGAACGAATTTCCGCCCGGTTTTCTCGCCACTCGCCCAGTTTGGCCCCTTCCGGACACAGGCTGCGCGCCCCCGGCTCCTCCGGGGGCTGTTCCTCCGAGGCCGCGTTCTGGGTCCGGGAGCCAGAGCCAGGAGGCGCCAGCTGCGGGCGCTGAAGGTCGGGGGCGCTGCAGCCACGCCGCGCCCCGAGGAGGTCTTGGAAAGGCTCCTGCCTGCAGCTGGGGAATCCACTTGGCGAGGGAAATCCGCGCCAGGGAATCCAGCTCTCCGGCCTCCGCAGCAAACAAAA